GCTTGTTTTTAATGATAAATTGAGACTATGGAGACATTTTTGATTTGGGACTTTTCACAAATCTGTCCCTAATAAGACATGTTGATATTTGCATTTTTCTAGTAAACAACTAAATTATTTGGTGAGGTTGTGCAACCAAATCCGGCTGTGGGGCTGCAAAGTTCAAGCATGGACCCCGGCCCATATAAACAACCCTGTGGGTTCACAAAGGCCTGGGTTAAACAAGCACTCCTCTTGTCCTCCACATCCTCCCATCACCAGAGTGTTAACTGCCCGAGCAGCCGGCTCAGTACTACACGTTAAACCTGTTGACCTCCCCGGTGAAGCTGCAGACGAATAGCTGCAAGGTGCTGGCAGGCTCCGGGCTCGCCGGCAGCGGCAGTAGCCTCTGCGGGGCAGATTCCATCATCCAGGCCAGGCAAAGTGCACACTCCCGGGTTGAGGTGTCAAACCACAACCTCATAACTCTCAGAACTCATAAAAGGGAACAGACCAAGAGGCGTGACTCACCAGGTGGCCGCATGCGGCCTGAGTGACGGGGGGGGGGCACGCTCTGCGTCACGATCCAAAACATTATCAGATGAGGGAATGTAGCCCTCCGCACACACTCACTCCTGTTTGCACATTCCTGTGCTGCTTAAGCACATCGGTGGCAGGTCAAAGGTCAGCGTTGGCCGCAATGCTATGAGGTGAGCCGGCTGAGAGAAAGGAGACACCCTCCTGAACTGCAGGTGGTGGCAGCGATTGAAGCTGTGCAGAAGCGTCCTTTCTCCACTAAAGTAGGGAGCTGTTATCGGGCCATTATGGCTTCGACGGGAAGAAGATTGAGTTCCCTGGATGCTCTGAATCCCGCTCAGCAGCTATTATGCTGCACAGAACGAATAGGGAGATAATCCCAGGCATCTCTATTCACACCTGTCCACTCGTATTCACATCACAAAGGGGGCTTGTATGAGAGAGTCTTCATTTGCATAGCTTTTTTTTTATAAGCAACAGGAACAGAAAAGAAAACATAGAAGAAAAAGGAATATGGATCTGCTGCGACACCAGTTGGGGTGTTTTTTTTCTACTTGTTTATATCTGATTTTCAAGTGGGTTTGGAAAACAGGGAGTTGGCTAAATATTAGTTTTAAGTAATAAATATCTAAATTTAACAAGTAAGTTTAGATTGAATCTGTCCAGATGAATGGAGAATAAACATTGCCTCTGTAAAAATGTGCTTTGTTTGGCTTTATCAAGCACAAAATTAATCTGCTGATATTTGTCAGTGCTAGATGAGTCGGTCAATCCTTCAACAAAAGAGCACAAAATTTGGGAAGCTGGTTTGTCACTTTAAAAAAAAAATTTTTTTTTTTTTTTTTTTTTTTTTTTTACATGGTGATAATTGTTTGTGTTTTTTTAAGTGTTCCCTGGCTACTGCCACAGCATGGTGTAAGTACTTAAAACTATCCTTCAGAAAAACGTGGATGGTTTTACAAAAAAACATTTAGCCTCACAAAAATTGGGGTTAATTATAGAATGGGCCTTTCAAACATCTCATGCCCAGGGGCCTTCTCTTCTCATTCCTGGTTCATAATTAAGGATTTTGAGTGAATAAGCAGCAGTATGAAGAGATCAGTGTGCACTAAGGGAACTGTGTTAGACAGTTTTTCCTTTTAATTCATGTTAAATTGAAGATTTGATCACTGAAGGTAACTAATCATAATCAGTTGTTAAGAAAGACATCTGTTGTAGAAAGAATGAGAACATATACAGAACATATTAGCTGTCATATTACTACAGAAGATTTAGCAAAAAATAGTATGCAAATCAGTGAGCCTGCTTCTTATGTGCATATACATTAGAACCAACAATTTCTGATTCAGATTACTCTAAAAAGTATGACTGTCCAGAGTCCACCTTGTTGACTGACTCAAAGTACAGTTCAGTATACAAAAATCAATAATCTTTTACATCAAAGAAAAGTGTAAGCAAGCCCATTTCAGCTGAAAAAGTCTTCAAAGTACAAAGAACTGTGGAAAACCTGACATTTAAAACCCATTAAGTGGTCACGTGTAGATTTGCGCACATCGACAAAAATAAATGTATCTCATCAACCTCCCGCAGACTCCTTTAGATCCTTTGAATTGCCAGTCATAACTGGAGTTCTCTGTTAAGCAAAGGCCTCAGTCACTTTTCACGCCAAAATGTTTTACTCACAGGCCCCACCATGCTTAAGAGCAAGCCTTCCCTCTCAGAATAATTACTACTCTGTAAACAATAGCTTCAATCCACCTGAACTATCTGCTCATCCAATTTCTTTTCAATGGTCTGCGATGGTGTGGTTGTATTGTGAACCATTCCAGGCAAATGCACTGAAGCTGTTAGAAACAGATAAATACACAAAAAGGTCCAATTAGCCTCCACTTTTATAAAGTAATATCAGAGTCACTGAGAACAACTCGGAATCCCTGTTGGAGCTGTGATGTAAAACAATGTGGCACAACACGATCAACATGTCTGATATGGGGAAATATCTCAATGTATCCACATTATGAGTGCTGAGTGAGGAGTCAGACAGCATTCTACTGGATTAGATACATGTGAAAACGTGTTAACGGTCTGTGTGAAAACGTGGTTAAGGACAGGAAGATTACTCTGCCAATTTGAGCTCCATCACATCAGCACACAGTGAAGGAAACTGAACAGAGAGATGAGAGGGACAGTGATAAGGCTAAAGGAAGAGGTTGTGATGGAAATCATCTCTCTGGATGATCCAACCCATCACTTTGGTTCAGTATACAGGCTTTTGTTATCTCTTGCCGATTTTGAAGCTGTACTGCACTGAACCATCTCAGGACCTCGTATCTTAATGCAATGCTTTTCAGGATGTACCAAAGATCTTTTCAGCAGGGATGAAATGTTTCAGCAGATGGAGCTGCCACTGGCTTTAAAGCAGGCCTGTAGAGGTTACCTGCTGTTTTTTACCTGCCGATTCGAATGTATATTAGAACTTACCTTATAAGTTTATTGTCAGATAATCTACTTGAGATTCTTTCACAGTGGTTTTACAAAAAAAAACAAATATCAAAAAGATTTTTTTTTAAACTTCTCAGTACAGAAAACGGTTAAAAAGCATTTTAACAGACCATTTAGCTATTCAGACATCATTAAAAAAGAAAAAAGTTCACTATACTTCCACAGGAATTTTTTGACTCTCTTTGTTAATTAATTTTTCCAGTGTCAAATAAAGTAATTATGAGCATCAGGTTAGCATCTGTTGGATTAGACCAAATTAAACAGAGCATCTTTCCCATCTTTGTCTGAGCTGAGACACATCCCTTCACAGGTCAGTTTCAGATACATTGACAAATATATTATTTTATTATAAATATAATATATTATATTTCACAGATAATTTCCAGTTTCTCGTACACCTTGCTCGGCTGGAAGGCCGCCTTCTCATTTAGAAAATCTTCTAGAGAACAGACCAGAAATGCAGCTTTGCCTTCGCTCTGCATGTTAAAGGATGCAAATGTTTCACTTTACCATTGGTCAAATGGAATATTGAATGAATTGCGAGTGCTTTAATGTTTAATGTGAGCTCTCTAACCTCGGGCACTTGGGATACTCCTAAAACTGCTCATATTCAGGGCAGTGAGGGAGAATTTACAAAAAATGATTTACAAAAAAAAAAAAATCCCGCAGAAAGAACACAAACTTACCTTCAGCCCTCTATTCCAGTCCATTCACCCACTTTACCACTTAATCAGCTCACTGTGGGCTCCATGTTACATGTCTGGCACAGGCCAGAGTCCCGAAGCCTTACAGCCTGGCCCGTCACCAGTTTCCAAACGGCTTTGCTCGACACTGCTGAGCACCTAATAACAGGATGTGGAGCACCAACTGACAAACTGGTCAAACTCCAAGTTGGGCTGCCCTGAGGGAGCCCAGTGCTGGGTGGTTATCAAGTCGGAGAAATGGAAGGGGAAACTGATGAGGCCCTCTGCATCACCGTCACACTGCCATCACCCTAATGAAAAAAGCATGTATTCCCACCAGTTCTGTATAATTTGAGTGTTTATTAGAGTGTGCATGAGAGCACATAATCACAGCAGTGGCCCTCACCGGGTCGGCCGGCACAGCTTCGTATCACAATTCCTGTGCGAGGCTAAAACCACAGGAATTAGGCAGGAGGGTGACATGATTTAAATTCAATAACAATGAATGCGCAACACCACCCTCAGACGCACCAGCCGACAACTCCCCTCCCCGAGAGCCGCTTTCATTTGTCTTGTTCCAGAGGGTCGATGAAACCAGACACATGTATGAGAGGAATTTCGAGACTTTTGGGAAAACAAGCTTCTTTTTTTTTTGCTTTGCTTTAAATAATTTATGGAGGAGCAACACACACGGAACCGCAGGCAATAATTTTTTTTTTAGGCCTGGACACTTTTTCAAAATCATCCCACGATGTTGAAAACAGACGAAGAATGTGGGGGGGGGGGAAGAGAGAGAAATAAAACCTGATTTTAGAAGCGTCAGCCTCAGTTACTTTCAGTTAAGTTTTACGAGCTCAAACATGAATTTGTCACCTTGCAACACAGATAACCTTTGACTTGACCTGCATCTGCATAAACCTGTTTTTTTAAACTGGTTATCGTAGCAACATAATGAAAAGTCATTCTTCCAAATATAACATTAGCAAATATGGCTGCAGTGTTATGAGACGGACTGATTAGACACTTTTGGGCAACAAATTCAACAAAAACAAGCAAAAAAAATGTCATAAGACACTGCAAAACTTTCATGTCTCAACTCTCTATTTACATATTTTCTAGGAATCTATGTAAGAAGAAGAAGGAAAAACGCTGATGCCAATTTTGGCCTTTAAAGTTGACCACCAATCCCTCAGACAACTGACATGGACACGTAGCACAGGCAACCAGCCTGTGGACTAAAAAAGCTGGGGGAAAAGCCCAAACAATCCCCATTTCCACCCTGGTAATCCTGCAGTGGATTCACACAGGAGTCGAAGTGTCTAACCCACGGAAGGGGAGACTCACCTCATTGGACGGTATGCTGACAACACCTGTTGATCTCCTCTTTTCCCTCAACTTCCTCTTCTCGATCTGTCCTTTCCCCTTCCTCGCGCTGGGACCGGCGCTCTTCTTGTCCTTCCCCTTGCCGGGCGATGGACTCTCCTTGTCGCTGTCATTGCAAGCCATTTGAGAGGAGTCCGGAGAGGCGCGCGGAGTCATGTCAGACTGAGGCGGGGCCTTCTTCAGGTTGCTCGCCGGGGAGGCTGCGGGCGCGACAGGGTGGTGCTCTTCCTCCTCCGGCCTCTTCAGAGCACCGCCGGAGGAGGACCGTGCCAACGAGTAGGGGGGGGGCTGGCAGTTTCCCGCGGGGGCGCCTCGCTCCGGGCCGCCGGCGAGGGGAGCCCCAGTGGCCGCCGCTATGTCCCCCAGCATTTTGGCTCTCATTTTCTCCCGCTTGGCCTTCCATTCCTCCAAAAAGTCCGTGGTGGCGTTTGGCTTAAACCCGCCCGTAGCCATGCTCCTTTTGCTTCGCCCCCCCGCCAAACAATTGAAAGTTAACTCGAAGTTGAAGTGGATACGACCGTTTCGGCTCTCGGCTCTACCGTCCTAATGGCACCGCATTCCTCAAGTGATTAAGCCAGGAGCTGTTGACAGGTAGAGGGAAAATAAAGTCAGACTGACGACAAACAAAACTTTAGAGACTCCCTCAGCCAACCGAGAGTCGAGCTTTTTTACCTTAAAAACACCTAAATATATTTGCGAACCTCCCCTTCACGGCGGGATTATATTCGTTGCATTGTTTATTTTTTGTTACTTCTAACTATGTTTCAAGAAAAATATTTTTTTAAACCGGTGGAAATTGACGACAAAGTTGTCAATTGTCAGGGTGACTCACCTGCGAGGAGAGTTTGAGACGCCGAACTGTTCGTCTCCGTCCGACCAGGTGTGACGGAGCTCCGCTCGGATGAATGACGCTGGTCTGGAGCGCTGGGTGCCGCTGTGCTCGCTCTGCCCTCTGGATACACGGGTGAGGCCGAAAGCACACGAGCACTTCCGATTGCACCCGAAGTAAAGACTGGGCTCTCTCTCCGTACGAACGCTGCAATGGTCCTTTACAATTCCCTCAGGGGCCTCAAGCATATCTCTGCTGCGTCTTTGTAAAGATATTTACGACGTCTCACATTACATCTGAGTAATTCCAGAGGAGATAAGTTAAATGATTGCTCATACAAACATCACATTTTTTATCATTCTAAATGTGGACTCTCACAACTCCTTCATAAATTCTCAATTCCTATCACTTCACTCAGTTTTATCTATGAAAGATAACTGTGCTTTACAAAAAAAAAAAATGTATTAGAAAATATAAAAATATATATTAAATCAACTCAAGTACGTTCACTGAAAAAGAATGTAGAAGACTGACAACACTTGTAAAAGCAAAGAATCTGTATGTGGCACTGGAAAAATAAATGAATTCATCCATCATAGATGGCATATAAATACCCAACTATAAATGATGGGTCAAATGTATACAAAAGAAGAAAAAAAACTGCCATGTGGATTCAAGCAACGTGATCAAAGTACACATTTAAGTCTAATCTTTAACCAAAAGGGTGTTTGTGTCCAGTAAACAAACAAACCACCAAATTTAGCTGGATAGAGCCTGAAAACCTTTTCTTCCCCGGGATGTTCTGGATACAACTAGCAGGCCTCTGAGGGAGAAATATTGATGGAAGGTGAGATGTAAAACTCTGAAAATGTCAAGAAGAAAGTTTCAACTTTTGTTTATCTAAGAAGAATGTATAATTGTAAGCTTAATCCTGCAAGGAACAAATAAAGAAAGGAAATAAAACCTGTCAGTGACAGTGGAATCTGTCCTCTAAATGAAATGGTATAGACTCAGAAAATTATAAACACCCAGCTAGACCCAAAATGGGATAAAGAAGTAACTTTAGGGCTCAGTTTATTTCATCTTAATCTAAGTACACAAAAAAAAATCTGTCTGTAGAAGCTCCTCCACAGCACTCTCACTGATATCTTTCATAAAAGTAAAGTAGTAGTTCAACATTTCTACAGAGAGAAAGTTCCAACATTTGCCCTCAGGCAGCGCAGAACCCATCCAACCAGTTCTAGTCGGAGTGCCTCCTGCAACATACTGACGCATGCATAAGGTCCCGGAGAAAGATAAGGTCTTACACATCGAAAACAAAAAAAACGATTTCTAAGAAATTACCCAGTGGTTGATGCAAAGTGTGACCTAGTGGAAATCATTTGCAATACAAAAAACTGCTCCTTTGAATGTTAATAGGAGTCTAATATGTCCATAAATGGCTTTAAACTGTAGTTTTAAATACCAACAGGAGGTTGACTTGTTGAGGAAAATCAGTTAGGCTACTGTTGTTTTGAAAGCATATAAAATGTCCGTGCATTTTGGTAAAAGCAGCAGGTCGGTACGTCTTTTGTCATAACCTATTTCAAAATACATCAAATGGACTACAGGCTGATCTCTTTCATAAATTAATTATTTCACTACTGTTACACAAGTAAAGTAAGGCAAGCTTCCCCAGGAAAAAACATCTGGATTAACATAAAAAACAGCCCTACATGTCACTAGCAAAAAATGTATACCGTTGAGAAAAAAACATTACCATGTTTCCATGTTTGATATATGATTTTATAACTCACTCCATGAATATGCAGTGATGTATGAAAAGGAATGTGCCATACCTTCATTCTAAGACATCATAAGGAAACGGCCTGACATTTAAAATCAGATGGATACATCGTTAGATGAGCAAAACCATGTATTTACACGTTGAAACAGAACAAAACCAAGATTTAGAGTTATTGTAAAAAAAACTGGGCGCACACATTGATTCAGTAACCAGTAGAACCACTTCTTTATCGCTTGGTTATGTAGAAATTCTGGCCTGCTCTTCTCTACGAGGTTGTTCCACTTCGTTGCGATGTTGTATGTTTTTTTTGTGTTTTTTGCATGGCTCTTTAAACTTCCAACAGCAGATTTGCAATCTGGGGGAGGACAGATGGCATCCCGTTTAAATTGTGGATGCTTTGGGGTACAGAGGGGTACATCATACTCCTAATGACTGTAAGTTGTCCAGACATGTGGCTGCAGAACAAGCCCAGATCACCAGCCCCGTACAGCCGTGCTGGCAGTTGGTATGTGATGTTTACCGATATGCTGTGATGTCCAGTTTCCTCCAAAATGTGCTGCTGTGCAATATGACCAAACACCCCCCCCACACACACACACACACTTTGGTCTAGTAGTCAGAGCATGGAATATTGTTACCAAACATTTTTGTTTTGGCTTATTTTTTTATATACAACTTTACAAACTTAAGCTAGGATGGCACATTCTCACATTCAAACAAAACCCTCTCTTGCAACCTTTCCAGACAAGCCATATTTAGTCAAGTCAAGTCAAGTAGGCTTTATTGTCAATTTCTTTACATGCGTTGGTTCATACGAAGAATTGAAATTTCGTTTCTTGCTTTCCCATGCAGACAGACATAATTTAGATATGTTAGATAAATTAGACATATAATAAGAAAATTGTGTGTATTCAGTCCTTTAGCTTTTAACATTTGACATGATAACTGAGGCCTGAGGTCTGAGATGTCACTCTTGTGTTGCTTTGGGGTTTCTCTGAGCATTAACACCCTCTGACCCCGCTTGGACACTCACTACAGGGAACACTGATATTTGTCTTGATCGTTTTACACCTGTGGATAATATTTTCTCTAGAATAACTCCAAATGGTCTGCTTGGTGTCAGCTCACCGGACGCCTCCCTTTCAGAAAACGGCCAGAACCTTGCAGAGCTGCTCACACTCACAATGATGAATGGTCAGAATGATTTGATTTGGATCACCTTGCTGCAGCAACCCTCCTAGTCTATACAGAGATGGAAATGGTGTACTTAGCTTTTCATATGCAGATGTCAAACTCTGCCCCAGTTTTTGTTCGCTTTTGTACAAATAAACAATGCCAGAGTAATAGGTCACGTGTTGTTGTTCTCCCGAGGTTTTATTTAGCCAATGATGGATTTTATTATGTTCTGACATGTTAAACTGCACAACACCACATGTCAGTTTTATTCAGTTATCACACAGCCGTACCTTTTTACCATAAACATAAATCAATTGTCCGAGTCAGTTATGTGCTGATGCAAATATCTTTTGGAGTAACTCTGCGTGGCGTTCCATGGAAATTCAGGCTTTATCAAACTGTGCAACCCAAGCTCTCCCCCAACGCAGTGATTCGAACCAGCTATAGCCCCATACTGTCAGAAATCTAATTTCATGCTATGATAACAGCGCCATAGCTTGGCCGTGCTGACTGGTACCTTATGCTGTTGGGTTTGCGCATGCAGCTTTCTCCCAAGGGCGTACTGGCTTTCAGGAAAGTTGATCATGGATACCCAAATCTCACTTCATCTGAAAAGAAATGGGTTCATTTTTTTGTGTTCTGGGAGGCCAGATATTTCACCTGTGAACTCTATATGTTCCAACCCTGTTACAGATCATTCAAATACACTTTTTAAAAGAAATGGGGTGGGGCAAGGGGAGTGGAGCACCTTCCCTAAAAATAAACCCCTGATCTATGGACTCAGGTCAAACTGCTGCATATTTAGCATATTTCTGTCTGCCGTGGTGGAGAAAAATGGCTAACGGTTCAAAGGGGGTTGCTTCCTTCTTGCCTCTCTGCTGCTTCTATCTAAGCACTGTACCGCATTGCACTGACAATCGTGCTCTGACTCTGTTCTCAAAATTTGCTTTGGTATTTCATACCATTAAGTGCCTAACAACCAATTTGAAAGCTTTAGAGTGTGTCTTTTTTAATAAACAGTCATATCTCGTGTTTAGTGCCCCGTAATATATTTCCAGGAAAAAGCGAAAATTAAGCTCTTGGCTGGAAGCGAAACGCAAGTAACCAGATGTTAATATTACAAATATAACACTGCTTAAAGCCCGTTCTTGCATGAAGGCATTTTCATTTATTCATCAGTAATATTTCAGTCAGAAGCTATTAGTTGGGTAATTCTGCAGCAAGGAGTCTACATTGACGTTCACTCCACCATGAAATTGTTTATGCAGTAAGGAAGCACTCACGAAATGAAAAACCTCCCAGATGTGGGGTTTTCTGAGAGTTGTGCAGAAAGAGACTTCTGGATAAGAGATTAAGTGGGAAACAATGTTCTCATTTGATGCTGTGTGCTGGTGCACTAAACCCACCACTAAAGACTCATCAAAACACCTCCTCCTTCATCTTCAAATTAATGATTAGAAAAAATATGATAACTTCCTCTCCTGTAGAGATTTAGTAGGGTGATTTGCATACAGCACACTGGACCAGTGAATCCTGTGAAGAAAAAATGTTATTTGAGATTAGGACATGAAACGTGAGCGGGTCAAATGTTCGGCTCAAGAGCGTTTTGGAGAGATTAGTTCATATTCATCTTGCACAGCCTGTTTCCTCATAGATGATCCTGGATTTGAAGTGTTGAACTGCCTGTTACAGTGTTGCCGCCGTTTAATCCTCCTTCAAGTTCAGGATTGAGTCGGCACAGCTTCCCACTGAGCTCCACAGCCAGCGGCAGGAAGGAAGTGAAGCAGCGGGGAGTTCCAGGTGACACACTTCCCACTAAACACGGCCAAAGGATTCTAAAACCACAGCACAGAAATACCCGAAAAACAAAAGTCCTGAAAGCTGAGCTGTGTGATCAAGCAAACTCGTGTGTTTTCAGAAACACCGAAAAGTTCAGAGATCGGTTGGTCAATTTTCTATTACTGTAGTTAAAGATGTGGAAAAAACTCCTTGATCTCCAAAGACACCAAAAGTCAGAGATGAATCTCCTTTAATATTCTAATTATTGTCAAAGGGTGACAAAAAAATTTATGAAGTCTAGTGGGGATTTTGAGCCATTTCAATATTTCAGTTGTAAAAACCCTTGTTTCATATCATACATTAATTTAGTCTATTTACCTAGATCTCCTCTTAATCTGCAGGTAAAATGCAACACCAAACCATTATCATGGATTTTTCATGTTTTCCTAAAGATGTTTTTCATGTTCTCCTGTGGCTTCCAGGCATGCACAAACCATAGCCTACACA